TCTTCTTAAACCAGTCACCCGCCTCTTGCTCAGATACCGACTTCTCTTCTGTTATAGTTTGCATGCTCCTCTCTAGAGCCAACTTTTTCCCCTGCGTGAAGGCCCCCCAAAATGTCTCTCACCTCTCTCTCCACCTTTCTCTCCTGTGTGGTTACTTTTTTCTCTCCACTGGCTCTTTCGTATCGACAAGCTGGCTGATCTTCCTTCCCTCCTCCCTCTTCGGATGGCGGAGCTCTGGCCTCGTCTGGGGCTGTCTCTGGTCTCCTGGCCACCCTCCCTTCCCTACTGCCTGTCAACACTTTTATTTCTAGGCCATACTTTTATATATTCAGCTGCCTACAGGTGTCTCCTTTCAGATGCTTAACTATTATCTCTAAACAATGATCTCTCCCGATTTCCAGTCCTGTCCAATCCCAACCCCCAACACACACACACACACACACACACACGCACGCATACACACATGCATGCACACACACATACACACATGCATGCACACATACACATACACATACACACATGCATGCACATACAAGTCTTCTACTTCTCTACTGTCTTCCCATCTCTCACAGTTGCTCGGGCTCAAAACCTGGGAGCCATCCCTGACTTTTTCTTTCATCTCTCACATCCAACTCATCAGCGAGTCTTGTTGGCTCTACCTTCAAAATAGATCTGGAGTCTGGCTACTTCTTGCCATGTCCCTGCTAGTAACCTGGCCCACGGCTTGAGTACTTCTACTGGGGTCTCTGCTTCCATCCTTGGCTCCCGCCCTCATCCTGTTCCTAACACAGCAACCAAAGTGATTCTGCGCAAACACAGGGCAGATGACGCCACTTCTCTGTTCAGAACCCTTGATAGCTTTCCAGGGTTCTTCAAACGGCCACCAGGTGCCACACAACTTGACTTCTCGCTACATGTGAATCCATGTGCTCCTCTCCCGGGCCCCTGCCACCCGGGCCCCAGCACGTCTCATGGTTCCCGAGGACCCCAGGCATGCTTCTGCCACAGGCTTTGCACGTCTGTTCCTTCTGCCTGGAATACCCATGTTTCCTTCAGGTCTTCAGTCACCACCTCAGGGAGGCCCTCCCTGACTGCCTCATTTGAAACGATAACCCTCGCTACCCTCTCCCGTTTGCTGTGTTTCCCCTAACTAGAATGCCAGCCCCAGTTGGCACGGGCTGTTGCTCCTTTCAGTCACTGTGTGCATTCCCAGTGCCTAGCATCCTGCCCATGACTGTTGAATGAATAAATGATTCATAGAAACACATTGACTACCTTGGTCACTACTTGCCATTCTTTTCCGACAGAGTGCTTCATTGACTCTTTAACTAACAGGATGATTTTAGTTTGTCCGCAGTTACCGGTTCTGGCTAACTACCAGAAAGTAGCTGTCGTCTCCTGTCCCTGTGCCCTGCCTGTATCTCCCTGTTCTGGCCCAGGAGTAGCTACTTTTAATGATCTCAGTCCGGGCTGTCACCATCTCCAAGCTTTCTCGCTCAGACGTACCGGCAGAAGCCTCCCTACATGAAGGAGCCTGTTTTTACGTGGAGCCCGACCTTCCCTTTGACCTTCTGTAATCTGGGGGAAAGGTCACCTGTGTCCCCTCCCGCCCCCAGCAGGTTCCACGGGACGGAGCAGGACCGAGGCTCCACGGTTTCGTACCCAGGCCTGCTGGACGGGATTCCAGCGGCGGACCACGCACGCCAAAGTGCAACCATCTTTCTAATGAATCAGTTGAAGAGCTCTCTGGAAAAGGCGGTGGGTGTGGAAAGGAAAAGTTCTGGTTTACAAAAGCTCTTTTGCCAGATCCTACTGATGTCAGTTACTTTTCTGCTCCTGGGCCAGCCCGTTAGAAACACAGGGCTGTTCTGAGTGAGCCAGGATCCTGCCCTGGGCGCTGGGGTCCAGTGGGGTGCTTGTGGGAGGGCTTCTGTGGGTCAGCTCCCCCTGGCCAGACTGTCCCACCACTCAGGGGGGCTCGGGGCTACTGGGAGGGATGGGGAGGCGTGAATGACAGAGACTCTGAGGCCATAGATCTGGGGTGGGGCGGGGTGTCAAAATCCAGCTGCATCCTTGCTGCTGAGGGACCTGGGACACATTCACTTCTTGCCTCACTCATTCTCTCACCCTGTACGTGGCCAGAACAGCACCTGCCCCCTGGCGTGTGGAGCAAATGAGGTGTACTCAGTATGGTACTCCTGGTCTGTCAGCACGTACCGAACACCGGCCACAGGCCCTTCCCTCACCCGTGACTGAAAACTCACAGCACTGGCTGGACGCCTGCCAACGACAAACCCCGCCCCACACCTGAAGGGCTCCCCTTCCCTATGACACTGCTTTAAAAAGAAATCATTCGTATGTAGTTCACAGAAGCGGATACTTCCATGGTAACTAATGCATAGATTTCTTTTTTTCAAAGATGGGCTAATCCCTCCGGCCCCCCAAGCGTTGCTCTGGCAGGAGCTGGGGCAGGCTGGGGCTTAGCCAGGTGTGTCCAGTTCCCCAGGCTGGCCACACTAACCACAGGTGAGTCATTTGGTCTTAATCAGGTTGATAGGCTGGAACAGCGATCCTGGCCCATGGAAAGCTCCCTCCCAGGGCCGAATCCTAGAGAGCGCCTCTCACAGAGAATGTGATCGGTAGGAAAAGGAGGGTCCTGACAGCAGGGTGTATTCCCTTTGGGTCTATCTCTACATTTCTACAAGCGGGTGCAGGGGGCTGGGGGAGGGTGGGCCGGGTGGTGGTGAGGGGTGGCAGGAGGTTGGGGTTGGGGTGGGGTTGTGGAGGAGGAGGATCTTCTAGGGGTGGTCATCCTGAGACTGTTTCCAAAGGGAACTCTCTGAAATTAGGCCTGGATTTAGGGTGGGGATGGGGTAAGGACGAAGGTGAAAGAAACAGTAAGTACGTTTGGAAAAACTGTTTTTATTTGGGTGTGACTCCCATTCTGTCTTTAAGAAAAGATGGCAACTGTGTATTTCTTTTATAATTGGAAAAAAAAAGTTAAAAATGAAAAAAGATGCTCTGGCCGGTTTGGCTCAGCAGTTAGAGCATTGGCCGGCAGACCAAAGAGTTGTGGGTTTGATTCCGGTCAAGGGCGCGTACCTCAGCTGTGGTTTGTCCCCGGCCCTAGCCAGGGTCGTGTGGGAGGCAACCAGTCGATGTTTCTCTCTCTCTCTCTCTCCCCCCCTCCCCCTCCCTCCCACTTTATCTGAAGATAAACAGAAAAATATCCTCGGATGAGGATTAAAGAAAAAATAAAAAAAGATCCACTTTGTGGAAGGCTTTTGATGATGTTGGAGGGACTCCATATCATTTGTTGACTGAATACTGACGGGATCCACTAATCTGGGGCTTAACATCAGCGACCTCACCCAGGCCTCTGGTTCAGCTCTGCGGCTCCTTGATTGTCACTGTTCCTGGGGGCAGACCTTCCCCAGTGAGGTCCCGGTGGGGCCAGGGCAGTTGCTGTAGAACCGGCTGTTGAGAATCTCAAGCTTTCTTTAATAAAATTATTTCACTTTTTAAGTGGCTAATGTTCATTCAGTGCTTCATCACTTACAAAGCATTTGGTTTACATTTTTGAATCTGACCCTCACAACAACACAGTGAAGGTAAGTTGTGGCCTTGTTACTCCGGTGCCTGTTGGTGAACTAAAGCTCAGAGAGGCTAAGAGACTTGCCAGAGATCACACAGGCCCGTGAGAGGCAGGACTCAAACCTTGGAGTTCCTTGCTGGGTAGCTCACGATGCGGCTGTCCTGTTTACAAGTCAGATCGTCTCGTCTGGCTCTCGAGCAGCCTGTGCATCGGAAAGAGTGGGTTTTCTCATGTCTTTTTTATAGGCTAATAAAGTGAGGCCCCCAGGGGCGCACAGGGTAAGTGGCAGAACCCAGCTCCGGTGTCTGTGCTCTCTGCTTCCAAGGGCTGCCCCTTGTCTGTGCACACGATGAGCGGGGAGGGGTGTGTGTGTGTGGTCTTACCAGGAAGAAAGGAAAATGCTACGTTAATTATTTGCCCCAGGGCAACCATCATTCCACCACTCAGCTCAGAGCACTGGCAAGTCCCTAATCTCAGGCTTAAAAAAGAGGGAATAAAAACCCAAATAAGTGCAATGCCCAGCTGCCCCCATCTCAGATCCATCTGCTCTCAGGTCCCACAGGCCAGTGCTTCCCTCCCTGACACTGTCCTTGGGACCCCGGAGGCTCATGCTGTGCCAGTCTTCAGCTGAGTTTGAATCTCTAGAAACCCCCAAGAGCCTGACTTCTGTTTCCAGTTCTTTCCGGAGAGCGAGCTCGGTTGAGTCTAGGCAGTGACATCATGAGTGGTCAGCACTCCTGGTCCCTCGCTTCCTAACAGAGATACACTCTAACTGGCTGGAGGTGCTGTCACCGTCTGCCACCTGGAGCCAGGCCTGGGGCATAGAGAAAAGATGGCATGCCAGCTCAGAGGGCGAGGAAGGCGGCCAGGAGGGGCAAGACCATGCCAGGCCCCTTTATGAGGTGGACGGGTGTCTGGTGGGGGTAGCAGGAAGGTGGACGCGAGGATGCTGAAGAGTTACCCTTCCTCTGCTGCCCCTGGCCTGCTCTGCCTGGCGGGGAGGACGTGCCCACTCCCGCCAGGCTCCGCAGGTGGCATCTAGGCACCCTCACCCCGTCCTGTCAGCACCAGACCTGGACACCTGCTCTCCACACGCCCGGCCCAGCTGCAGCAGCCAAGGGGACGGGGCCTCGAGGGAGTCTGTCCGCTTTCCATGCAGCGAAGGTGACGTCGCCCTCTGCGTTCCCCACCTCGACCAAGTCCCCTCAGCCGCTTTGATCGTTTTCAATGTCATGCTCCCCATCACCTTCTAACACCTTCAAGGAGCATAAAGCAATCGGCAGAGACGAGGTCAAAGGAGGGCATGGGGCTTCTGATTTCCTTCCCCTCCACTCTGCCCCCAGATTCCTAGCTGTATTTAAAAAAGAGGGATGAGCATCAGAGCCATAAGTAAAAAGGAACTCACCCCTGCCCCACCTGTGGGGCACAGATGCCTGGGCGTTGTGACACAGCAGCAGCAGCAGCAGCGTCTTCCAGCACATCTTTCCTCCAACGAGGGGAGCCGGTGTCCTCAAGCCCGAGGGGACCCAGGAGCTGCAGGTGTGCCCGCACCCTCCCCGGGAGACGGTGCAGCTCCTAGCACCCTTCCCTTTTCCGAGGACCAGACGACCTCTCCCGCCTCAGGAGGTGAGCCAAGGCTGCCTCCTGGGGGACTGGCCTGGGGACTTCTTCTTCGGCTCTCTCTGGGATTGGGGGACTGGGCTGCCACAGAGAGACTGTTTTTGAGCACATCTGGAGTGACTCACGGGGCATGTGATCTTCTTGGCTGTGGGGTGGATAAATATAAATTCTGTACTTGAGTTCCATGTGTTGGATGCACCCACTGGAATTTTTCTTTAACAAACAGACTCGTGGAACTTGTTAGAGAGCCCGGCGAAGAGCTGGCTGCCGTCCCCGTCCACACGCAGGCCAGCGCCGGGCGAGGGCTGCAGGAAGAGCCGGAGGCTGGCCTTGCCGACGCCGGGCTGAGGGCGCCCAGTTGCCATGAGGACAGCGAAGTCATTGTAGTGTCTTGACTGAGTGGCGTGTCCCTCCCTGTAGCTAGACCTCGTGAGCCGGTGCCTTCAGCCGGTGCCAGAGCCTCCCCCAGGGTCTGCAGGGATTGGAGTTGGCGGGTTGTGAGGAGCAGAAGTGGAGAGGTGCCGTGTGAGTAGGTATCGCACACTCGGAATGATCCAGGGCCCATAGGTGACCCCTTTCCCCGTGTGCACTCATAACACCCTGCTTTCTGGACTGCGTCTAGGCCTGGGACCAAACCACTTTGATTCTCCCAAGCAAAATGGTAGTGCTTTTCTGTGATCATTTTTTTGGTATTTCATTAATGAATGAATGAATGATTATAATTAAACATTTTTTTTTCTTTATTGATTTTAGAGAGAGAGGAAGGGAGAGGTAGGGAGAGATAGAAACATCGATGAGAAAGAACATTGATTAGCTGCCTCTTGCATGCCCCTCACTGGGGATCGGGCCCACAGCCTGGGCATGTGCCCTGACCAGGAATCGAACCGGCAACCTCTTGCTGCATGGGTCAACACTCAACCACTGAGCCACACCGGCCAGGCCGAATTAATTATTTTTATTGAGATATGATTGACATATGACATTGTACAAGTGTAAGGCGTGCAACGTGTTGATTTGCTATGTGCACGTATTTGAATGTGATCATCAGTGCAGTGTCAGCCACACCTCTATCACATCCCAGAGTTGTCATTTCTTTGTCTGTCGTTTTTCTCCCTCTGAAGTCACGGACATGTCATGCTAAAGCTTGAAGGACAGTTACAGGTTGTGTGTGCTCAGCATGAATAGGCCACTCATGTCATCTGAAAAAAATTGACTATAAAATTTGCAAACCATTGATCTCATTAATATTAATAATAGCTAGTGGGTGTTACTTTCTCCAGGCACTGTGCTCGGTGCTCTCCTCGTATTCATTGATTTAATACGCACACCAAGCTATGAGATCAGTATAGAACTGTACTCTCCAGTAGAGGTATAGCGTGAGTCACAAATGTAATTAAAATTTTTCTAGTAGCCACATTAAAAAAAAGTAAAAAGCAACAGGTAAATTGAGTATAATAATATATTTTATTCAACCCAATATATCCAAAATATCATTTCTCCACGTGATCAGTAAAAATACTAAAGAGATATTTTCTATTCTTTTTAACATTTTTATTATACATTTTTTCCCCCTTTATTGATTTTGGAGAGAGAGGAAATGAGAGGGAGAGAGAGTAGAAACATCAATGAGAGAGAGCATCCACTGGCCGCCCCCTGCATGCCCCCCACTGGGGATCGGGCCCACAACTTGGGCATGTGCCCTGACTGGGAATCAAACCGGAGACCTTCTGGTGCATGGGTCGATGCTCAACCACTGAGCCACACCAGCTGGATTATTCTTTTTTTAATACTGTCGTTGAAACTCAGTGTGTATTTCATCTTACAGCACACTCAGTTCAGACCAGCCACGTTCCGAACCCTCAGTAGCACACGTGGCTGGTGGCTACCGTGTGGGCAGCGCTAGGCTGGAAGGTGAGAAGGCAGTCCTAAGCCAGGCTGCCTGTTTATCCGGGCTCTGCCCCTTCCTACCTGTGGAATCCTGGCTGAATTCCTTAATACCTTTTTGCCTCGATTTTCCTCATCTATAGAATGGCGATAATAATAGTGTCTTCTTCATAGGGTTGTGGTGAGGAATCAATGAGTTAATATGTATAAAGTACTGAGAACTATATCTGACGCATCTATGTGTGCTATATGCACATGAAAAGAGGGGCTCAGAGGGGTTAAGTAATCTGCCCAAGGTCACCCAGCTAGTAAGTGATGGAGCTGGGGTTTTAACCGAGGTCTGTGATTCCATAGCCTACATGCAGACCTGCCTTGAAGCTTTACACTTGGGAACCCCCTAGTGGAGTGCTGGGAAACCAGTTCTGGAGGGGCGGGGGGAGCCCCAGTTTGTAGCATTCGCCAATTTTCCTGGTGAAAATACTCCCGCCACGGCTGATTTCAAGCTACTGGTGGTTTAACAGACAGCTTGCAACATTTCTGAACAGTTAACATCGGCGCACTGGAAGCCCAGACGGGCTGGGCCAGCACACCCCTTCCTCACAAGATCAGGTCTGCTGCTTCTGCTGTATTCTCTTCTTGTATTTCCTTTTTCCTTTTTGATTCTCTTTAAACATTTTTATTTCATTATTTTGTCCAGTCTTATTGAGATGTAATTGACGTATAACACAGGTGTACAACATAATGATTTGATGCACGGTGTATACTGTGAAATGATTATCACAATAACACCCATCACCTCACATAATTATACATTTTCTTCTTGTAATGAGAACTTTTAAGTTCTACTCTCTCAGCAACTTTCGAATATACAGTACAGTATTAACTGTAGTCCCCAGTCGGTGCATTACATCCCGAAAGTTATTTATTTTATAACTAGGAGTTTGTATTTTGTGACCAGCTTGGCCCATTTTTCCCCATCTCCTGCCCTTAGCAACCGCTCTGTTCTCTGTTTGCATGAGTTTGGCTTTTTTGGTTTCTACATGTAAGTGAAGTCACACAGTATTTGTCTTTCTCTGACTTATTTCACTTAGCATGATATTCTCCAGGTTCATTGATGTTGTTGCTAATGGCAAAATTTCCTTCTTTTCTATGGCTGAATAATATTCCAGTGTTTGTATGTATGTATGTGTGTACATATTTATCACATTTTATAGTCCACTCTTTCATTGCTGGACACTGAGGTTGTTTCCATATCTTGACTATTGTAAATTATGCTGCTGTGAACATGGGGGTGTAGGTGTCTCTTCAGGATAACGATTTTGATTCCTTTGGATATATACCTGGACGTGGATTTGCTGGATCATATGATTGTTCCATTTTTAATTTTTTGACGGAACTCCATACTGTTTTCCATAGTGGCTGCACCAATTTACATTCCCACCAGCAGCACGCAAGGGTTCCCTTTTCTCCACATTCTCGCCAACACTTAGCTCTTGTCATTTTGATGATAGTCGTTCCAACAGATGTGAGATCATATCTTGTTGTGGTTTGGATTTGCATCTGCCTGATGATTAGTGATGTTGGACATCTTTTCATGTATCTGTTGGTCATCTGTACATCTTCATTGGAACAATGTCTATTCAGTTTTTCTGCCCGTTTTAAAAATAAGATCGTATTTTTGTTACTGGGTCATATGAGTTCTTTATCTATTTTTCAATATTAAGCCCTATCAGATATGATTTGCAAATATTTCCTCCCATTCTGTAGGTTGCCTTTTCATTTTATCGCCTCTGCTGTGCAGTGTACTTTATTAGACCCGTAAGAATCACCCGAAGAACATAGCACGAGACACGGTGCCCTGTAGTAGCCCATTGGACATTTGTTGAGTGATGCTGAAGTCGAGAAAGCTCCCAATTCCCTGTTCTTTTGCCAAAACTCCAGTGAGCGAGGAAGGAGCCGACTTGCCCGGCTGCGGCGAAACCACAGTCTTGGCCACCAGTCTTGGACGTTTTCATCTTCAGGCTCAAATCACCAGACTGTCACCTACTAATTACCAAGCTGGCATGCAGATCCCCTTCTGAATTTGGGTCAGGATCACATGTGTTTGTAGCTGATTTCAGTTCATAGGATGATGAGCCAGGCTGTCCCTCACGCCACAGCAACTTGGCAGGTGTTTCCAGCTTCCAGGGAGTCTTGTGAAACCCTGGCCGGGGGCACTGATTTCTTCTCTCTCCCTTTCCATGGTTTTCTTGTTCTTGCTGAAATTCCCCGCACTCTGGTTGAGCCTGGCAAGCAAATGGAAGGCACTTTCTTTTGTAACAGATCACAGGAAGCCCCGACTGTGGAGTTTCGCAGATCTGCTGGTGGTGTACAGAACAGTTAGGGGCGCGTGCTACCGGAGGCCACAGTCTTCAGGTTCACGTCCACCTCAGAACGCGCCCTGCGCCTGTGTGGGTGCCTCTCGTCAGCACCACTCACCTTCCAGCGTGGTCACATCTGCCATTTACCGCGTTCTGACCTTACTTTCCTTCACTCGACTTCCACAGCAGTTTTGCTCGGTAGATGCTGTAACAGAGTCCATTGCACATACGAGCAGCGGAAGCGTAGAAAGGAGAGGTACCTGCCAGAGGGCGAACACGTCTGAACACTGCCGCAGCAGGGCTGAGACGAAAGCCAGACACCAGTCTGTGCACCGAGAGCCTGGAGCAGCACAGGGAGCGCCAGGCTGGCCCCCGTCGTGGTCATAGGTGCACGTGGGGACATTCTGTTCATTCTGAGGGCCCCAGCACAGGAGTGGCATAGTCACCTGGCCGGTTTGGCTCAGCGGTTAGAGCGCTGGCCCGCGGATCAATGAGTCTTGGGTTTGATTCTGGTCAAGGGCATGTACCTCGGTGGTGGTTCATGCCCGGCCCTGGACGGGATCGTGTGGGAGGCACCCAGTCAAGGTGTTTTTCTCACGTCGATGTTTCTCTCTCGCCCTCTCTCTTTCCCCCTCTCTCTTTCCCCCTCCCACTCTGTCTGATGATAAATGGAAAAATACTCTCAGGTGAGGATTAAAAAAAAAAGAAGAAGTGGTGTAGTCAGCACCCATTTGTGTGCCCTCTGCTCACCCATTCATCTAGTTTTTGAGCATCTTCCCTGTGCCAGGCAATAGGTATATTAAATCAAATAAGACATCATTCCTGTCATCAAGAGTCATCATTCTAGCCCTGGCCGGTGTCGCTCAGTGGTTAGAGTGTCATCCCATACACCAGGGCACACACTTAGGTGGTGGGTTCACTCCCTAGTGGGGGCTCACGTGG